TGTGTGTGTGTGTGTGTGTGTGTGTGTGTGTGTGTGTGTGTGTGTTATGAACTTGGTTGTCTGACGATTTTCTCGCCACTCACACACAGAATATCTCACACATGCCCATACATGCACCAGACGAAGGGGAGAGGAGACAGAGTCCACACTGCACACAGACCAGAGATAAGCAGCGGAATATCAACCATGCACAGATGGGGAGAATACCCACAGTGTTTCTCTCTCTCTGACAAACTCCCAACAACCAATCACAAGATGACACGGCGAAGATCACAGTCGGAATATAACACTGATGATGAGCCAACTCAACTCAATTAACCCCAATTATCGTTACAGAGTTCAACTCAGTATCTCGCCACCTCAGAACCACACACTACACCCAATACCCCACTCTCAGTGACCAGCGCCACACTGAAACAGCCTCCCAGAGGCAAGCGCCATCCACCAAGATGAAGATCATGAACTGCGATGAAGTCCTCAGCGCCGATGAGTCACTCTGACGAAGAAGAAGGCAGCTATGGCTGCCTCGCTGTTACAGAAGCCCTGCGAAGTAGGGCGCCAGCAACAGCATCCACCTGTACCCTCCGAAGAGCCTCAAAATAACCCTGCCGCACGCAGATACCCTCAGGGGTAGATGCGCTGAGAGTGCCCCAGCTCTGGCAACCTCTCAGAGGCCGTCTATGACTGTCATCACCGAGCTGAAGTCTGGGATGCCGCCTCAGACCTTCAGCGCTGCAAAACTTGGTTGGCCCCCAACGCTGCAATCCGAAAATCAAAGACCAAAAGTCCTGAACCGATTTTGTTTTTCCAAAACTATCCATAGACTCACTAATCTAACCTGGACCTAGACCGGACTGACTGACCGACCGGTACCGTTGCTGTTTCGGCCTTTTGGCCTTTACCGGACCCGGCTATAGGCTATAGGACCGTCTAGCAGCATAGGCCGCTTAGGGCCTGTCCGTCCTAGGGGTAGCCCGGGCCTGCTATAGGCAGTTAGGGTAGTGGTAGGAATTCGGGTTAGTACCGGGCCTGTATTTTCCCGGATTTGCAGATCTGTCCCTCACGAATTTCCTTATAGGCAGGTCTCTCGGTTAGCCCTCAGCCAAACAAAATTACAAATCTAACCCTGCCGGTTAGTTTACAGCCTCGCAGTCAATCTCGGCAGCAGAAATCAGCAAGTCATTGCATGTGTGTGTGTGTGTGTGTGTGTGTGTGTGTGTGTGTGTGTGTGTGTGTGTGTGTGTGTGTGTGTGTGTGTGTGTGTGTGTGTGTGTGTGTTCCCCCAGCCCTTTTGCCTCTGTGTATAAGATAACAGCTTAGGCAATATCTTTTCTTCTTGTGTTTTTATCAAAATAGCAGTGCTTTTTAAACATTTCTCCATGTGGTCTCACCTCCACTCTTTTCAACCTCCTTGTTCTGCCTCCCCGCTCACTGCTGGCAGGATGCACAAATTAAAAACTCACTCGGATACCATAGACCAAGCCATTGCTAGTGGAGTAGGGAGGTATAAGTCTTGCGACTCTTATCTTTTCTTTTTCCTCGTTTCTTGAAATTTCCCTTTTGGAAGACAGGAAATGAGCCCGGACATTGTGGTATACATTAGGATGCGGATTCTTGACCTTGTGTGAGAGCCACAGTTGGCTGAACAGCGCCTGGACACCCTTGGTTCATAAGTGTTATGGTGCTTATGGTGAGATTGAGTACGGGGTCAGGAAGATGGCAGAGAAGAGGAAGGGGATTTATGCGAGGGAAACATGCGTGCGAGGAACAGTAAAAAGGGAGCTGCGAGAAGAAACAAAGGGGGTACCCCAAAGAAAACCAGAGCACGGAAAACAGATAAAGAAATGCACAAGGAAAAGGCAAAGAAGCAGTTTTAGTGTGCTTCATGTTGTTTGCTGCAGAGGTGGGGGTCTCCAAGGGGAAGACCGTCAACAAGGGGAAGGGGACTACGGGAACGGAGGGGGTAGCCGTGACTCCGTGCAGGTCTCCAACGGTTGGCCACGCGGTGGAAGTCGGCACAAAGCCGCTCAATGGGGTATGATGTGTTGGGGTCCAAGGTGACAGAAGGGGGAGGAGTGGTAAGAAAAAAAAAAAGAGGGGTGGGCGAAACCCTAAACCCTAACAAACCCTAACCAAGAGGGGGAGATTAGGGTGAAGAAGCGGCAACCTAATCAAGAAATAGCAAAAATAACGACCATGGGGGGAGGTGGGGAAAGAAAAACAAACTTGTAGAATTTCAAAATAAAAAATGACAAAAAAAAAGAAAAAAGAATAAGATTATAATTTATAAACAAATAAGAGTGAGTAGGGAAGAGTATTTATGTTTTTGATTTCAGCAAGCAATACTAAGTATTTACTGTTTAGTATTGATTTTTCCAGAACTTTCAGCAGCAATGGGGTTGAAATGTGCCAATACACCAGCACTTTGTTACTCCCACGGTGTCAAAGTGTGTTGGGAAGGAAATAAACCAACTTAAAAGAGAAAATTCCGGTAGCACTTCGTTACCCCCATGGGGTCAAAATATGCACTGGTAGGGGATATTTAAAGATATCGCAGGAAATTCTAAATTTCAGAATAAATAAATAAATAAATAAATTGAAAAAGAAGAGAATAATAAGATATTTTAGAATTTTTGGAAAGAAAGTAAAAGAAAATCAAATGTAAGAACAAAATCTAGAAAGAAAGAGAAATTTGAAATAGGTGGGAAGGGGAGTGAAAAGATGATAGGAAAATGGAGAGAGAGTTCAAAAATAGAGAAATTTTGATTTGCAGGTAGGGGGGATGAAGAAGTGGTAAACCACCACTGCCCCCTAGCCTATCTTAACGAACCGCTGTTCATATTATCAGCCCTCGACGACCGAGCCTCTCTTTGCGAGTGTCCCATTGAGACAATGCTTTTTCCCTCACAGGCGCCAGGGGGTCTACAAAAGGAGATCTACAAAAAAAAAAGCACAAAAAAATCTATAAAAAGAAAATCTACAAAAGGAGAATTTACAAACATATCTGTGAAGACGTCGCTATATTTCTTATCTTCTGTGCATGTTGTGAGTAGTGGAGCAAGGCCGAATGACAACGTCATGCACACTGTCCACACGAGAAAAGAGGCGAGGCTTCGTGGCGCCACTCGCCAGATGCACAAAAGACAAAAATTACGGTTGTGCATCTTTCCAATGTCTAGCAGAAGGTTTATTCTCATTTTACACAGTCGGTGAGTGATGAGGTGAGCTCCACGATGTGCACAAAAGATGAGAAATATGACGATCTTTCCAT